GCCACAACGTAGTTGACAAGAAATGCATAATGCACCTTTTTAATACCAAGACAACATTTTTCTTATTACCAAACCTCACGACATTCGATGGTATAATCGGACTTGACCTACTAAACCAAACCAACGTTTTATTAGACTTCAAAAATAAGAAACTAACAACAAACTATGGTTCTGAGACCATTAACTTTCTAAAATGCCCAGCCGTAAATTTCACAAGTGTCAAAGAAATAGAAGCCCCTCAGGCTATAACAACGGAATTTCAAACAATGCTCAAAGCCCGAGCAGGAGTATTTGCGGAACCAAATGAAGCGCTTCCGTATAATACAAATGTCATTGCAACTATTAGAACAGAGGACGAGAATCCCATTTATTCAAAATTATATCCATACCCAATGGGCGTATCAGAATTCGTAAACACAGAAACTCAAGATCTGTTAGAAAACGGTATAATACGTCCGTCCCAGTCACCATACAATAACCCCGTGTGGGTTGTAGATAAAAAAGGTACCGACGAGCAGTGAAGAAAAAAAGAAACGTTTAGTTATAGACTTCAGAAAACTAAACAAAAGACAATAGATGACAAATACCCCATTCCCAATATAGCCTCCATTTTATCCAACTTAGGCACAGCAAAGTACTTTACAACACTAGATTTAAAATCCGGATTCCACCAGATTTTACTTGCCGAAAAAGATAGAGAAAAAACAGCCTTTTCTGTAGGAAGCGGAAAGTATGAGTTCTGCAGGCTCCCTTTTGGCTTGAAAAATGCACCTAGTATTTTTCAGAGAGCCATTGACGATGTGCTCAGAGAGCAAATTGGAAAATCTTGTTATGTTTACGTAGACGACGTAATCATTTTTTCTGAAAATATGGAAAGCCATGTCAAGCATATCGCCTGGGTCCTAGATAAACTATACGAGGCCAACATGAGAGTTTCACCAGAAAAGTCGCACTTTTTCAAAGAAAGTGTAGAATACCTAGGTTTCGTAGTCTCAAGTAATGGTATAAAGACATGTCCAAGTAAAGTTGAAGCGATTCGTAACTATGAAGTACCAACAACTTTGTTTAACGTCAGATCATTCCTTGGGTTGGCAAGCTACTATAGGTGTTTCATCAAGGACTTCGCGTCTATAGCAAAACCTATAAGCGACATCTTAAAAGGCCAAAATGGCAAAGTGAGCGCCGGACAATCCAAAAAAATTCCAGTAAAATTTGACGAGAGTCAACATGCGGCATTCGAGAAGCTAAAAGAGGTTCTTGCATCCGAAAATGTAATGTTGCTCTACCCTGACTACAAGAAGCCGTTTGATTTAACAACGGACGCTTCATCCTCTGGTCTTGGGGCAGTTCTGTCACAAGGTGGAAAACCAATCACCATGATATCAAGAACATTAAAGGATAGAGAGCTTATCTTTGCAACAAATGAGAGGGAACTACTTGCAATAGTTTGGGCTTTAAAAAACCTCCGAAATTATCTATATGGGGTAAAAAATTTAAATATCTTTACGGACCATCAGCCTCTGACGTTTGCAGTATCCGACCGAAACCCGAACGCAAAAATCAGGCGTTGGAAAGCTTTTATAGATGAATATAACGCAAACATCTATTACAAGCCAGGGAAGGAGAACTACGTTGCGGACGCACTGTCACGGCATAATATTCATGCCCTAGAGGACGATGTACAGTCAGACAGAGCCACAATTCACAGCGAAATATCGCTCACATACACCATAGACACAACAGACAAACCAATCAACTGTTTCCAAAACCAAATTATAATAGAAGAAAATAATATAGCCTCTGATCGTACAGTTATCCTATTTGGTAAGAAAATCCGACATACAATTCATTTCTCAAACAGAGACTCGTTAATCAAAAGAGTTTGCGATGTAGTCAAAAAAGATGTCGTAAATGCAATCCATTGCGAGTTACCAATATTAGCATTCATACAACATAAACTAATAGAAACTTTTCCAACAACAACATTTCGATATACAAAGTACATAGTAAATGACATTTTTGATAAAAACGAACAGAAAGAAATAATTGCAACAGAACACAATCGGGCTCACAGAGCAGCCCAAGAAAATGTGAAGCAGATTTTACAAGACTATTTTTTTTCCGAAAATGACAAAATTAACGAACGAAGTTGTTTCAAATTGTAAAATTTGTAAAACAGCTAAGTACAATCGTCACCCACAAAAACAAATACTTGGAGAAACACCCATACCTTCCTATGTGGGCGAAATACTACACATAGACATATACTCAACCAATAAAAAATACTTCCTTACGTGCATAGATAAATTTTCAAAATTTGCAATTGTTCAACCCATCGCTTCAAGGACAATAATTGACATACAATCAGCAATTTTACAACTTGTAAATTTTTACCGGCATACCAAGACGATCTATTGCGATAACGAGCCCTCCATAAAGTCCGAAACAATAAAATCTCTGCTAAACAATCAATATAACATTCAAATCGTAAATGCCCCACCACTCCATAGTACATCAAACGGACAAGTCGAGAGATTCCATAGCACCCTCGGTGACATTGCAAGATGCCTAACAGCTCAAAGGAAAATTACTGACACTGTTGAAACGATACTTCAAGCAACTATCGAATATAACAATACAATTCACTCAGTAACGGACAAACGACCAATCGATATAATCCACTCATCCTCCCCAGAACTCGAAATAGAGATAGGAAATAAAATTCAAAAGGCACAACAACTCCTAACAAATAGAGTAAACGAAACAAGACACAATAGACAATTCCAAATAGGCGACACAGTTTTGGAAAAAACAAACAGACGCTTAGGGAACAAACTGACACCACTATACAACGAAGGCAAAATTGACGCAGACTTGGGGACAACAGTCTTAATAAAAGGGAGGGTGGTCCACAAGGACAATCTAAGATAGGCAAAACATTAAATTCCCTTTTTTATCTTTTTAGGATTTGGACTATACTTCTTTTTGCTACAACGATAACAGCGAAATTGACTGACTATACTAACATGGACTACATACCGATCTTGGACGGATACGTAACCATTTGGACGGATTTCCAATACTTGAAGCACTCAACCAACCTTACCCTATACTCAGAAATAGTAAAAAATACGAAAGAATTAGCAAACCATTTCCCCCGATCACATATGAGAATGTTATTAGACGCAGACATACAACATATAGAAACATTAATAGCTACAGTAAATGTCCACCATAGACATGCTAGGAGTATCAATATGCTAAGCACCGTTCTAAAGGTCGTAGCTGGCACGCCAGACCATGATGATTTCGAGAAACTAAAATTTACACAGAATGAACTTGTAGAGTCAGAAAATAGGCAGATAACCATAAACACAAAAATGCAGGAACAAATTAATAAGCTAACTGACACCGTAAACCTCCTAGTAAAAAACACAAAAGTAAAACAAGTAGACACAGAGCATTTATATGAAACGCTGCTAACAAGAAATAGAATAATTATCTCAGAGTTAAAAACCTTAATACTATCAGTAACACTTGCAAAGGTTGGAATTGTAAACCCCTCCATTTTGGATTCCACTGATTTAAAAAACATTGTTAATGAACACTCTATAAATATCACTATTACTGACTTAATGGAAGTATCTCAAATTAAAGTTTTGTTAAGCGAAAATTTTCTACATTTCATTATAAGATATCCTAAGCCTAGCATAGTATGTAAAAAAATTAACCGTATACCCTGTCCAACACAACGGCATCATAATAAATTTCGCCGAAGACTGCAATTTAGCTGACTGTGGAAATCATGTAATATCAATAGGAAATTGTAGTACAGCCCTCACAATAACGTTCTGCAAGAAGTCACCCTACACAACATGCGCTCAACAGCTACACTCAGGTGACACCGCACATTGTTCAACTCGGCCCAGCCACCTCGAACCTCTAACCATAGTCGACGATGGAGTAATCATCATCAACGACGGAGCAGCTACAGTCAACGAGCAGATGGTAAAAGGGACGTTCCTCCTTACCTTTGACGACAAGATAAAGGTAAACAACACCGTATACCAAAACCAAAAAAAACTACGTGAGGAAATCCCCGGGACCAGCGGTATCTGCGCTCTTAAATATAACAGACCACCAAGAGATACCAAGCCTGCCATACCTGCAGAAGATAAGCATAAAAAATCTGCGGGATATTGCTCAACTAGAGGAAGGGCTAGTAAGAAGGCCAATAGTATCTGGGCTAACCGTGGCCATCCTTTTACTCTCCTGCTACGCTTCGATGAAACTCTATCAAAGACATCAGAGGAACAAACGTCAACGTGATCTTCAAACATTAATTAACAGTTTCAAGAAAGCCGAGGACGTCATTCATCTAAGTGGGGGAGGAGTTAACACAATCGACCAGCAAAACATAAATGTTCAGATTGATCACGCGCCGTCAGCATGAATGTAGCCGTTCCCAGCGGATATTGCACAACAGCAGCAGTGGCTCCAACGCGCAACAATGTTGTTGCCCGAAGTAATGCGATGCCTCGCGTAAATATGCAATGTCAGCATAATCAGGGTTTAGGGCTAGCTTTGGATATAAGAATTTATGTCACTGTACTTTAGTTGATTTTTGATAATAAAGAACGTCGGTCGTCGCCACGGGATTATTGAAGTCTACTCATTTTGTGCAACACCGCACACTAACATCTAACAACTACAGCAAAAAAGCTTAATTTATATATATATATATATATATATATATATATATATATACATGTATACATATACATATATGTTTTTTGTATATATAGCATCTTAGCCTACGTTTTATGTTTAAACGTAATAAATATGTTGTTTTTTTCTCTTGTATAATTTTTAGCAGCTTTTCAATATATTTAACTATAGCTTGTTATTTTATACATAATTTGTTGTTATTTTTTCCTTTTAGACGAGGTTCCCATTTTTTTTTTTTTTTTTTTTTTTTTTTATTTTTTTATGCATTACAATTAATATTTGCTAGTGTTAATAATAAATATATATTTAATATATTTTAACGTTTTGGCTTATCGTATAGTGCAGCTAATATAATTTAAATTTAACATTTACACCTTCCTAGACGTTCGTTCGCTTTTGTTTAAACTTTTTTGCAAGCCTTGTGAAATGCTGCGACTTTCATTTAATTTAATTTAGTTTAAATTTAATTTATTTAGTTTTCTTTTTTCTCTTTTAAAGGAAAAACGTTCTGAGAGCCTTAAATGCGTTTGAAGAACATAAATTGTTGCCGTTGTTGTGGTTGTTATTTAGAAGTTGTTGTTGCTGTTGTTGTTGTTGTTGTTCTTGAGTCCTGCAATTGCGGTTTAGGTGCCTTAGGGTCACCTTGATGCGCTGCTTGTGAAGAAGTCCGCTGTGAGCAGTTGAAAAGAGAAACTCAATTGAAATTTGAAACATGATCAAACCGATTTATACTCTCTACTCACGCGTCTCGAAGCTGAAGCCTAGCGTTGGGTCTGGCGGCGTATTGAGCATTGGATTACCGCTGCTGCCGCTGCCGGTGGGCGTGGCATTGCCCATGGAATTTGTACTATTGCCGCTACCGCCGCCGCCTCCAATCATTGGTCCCTGCTGCAACGGACTCTGCGGTGTCTGACCCCGCTGAGCCACGCCCGCACCGCCGACGCCAACACCAACGCCCACGCCGCCACCCGTCGCAGCCGCCGCCGCCTGATGAGCGCGCACACTGACAACGGCGCGCAGCTCCTGCTTGACAAAGTCCGAGTTGACATTTCCACCAGTCACGCCTCCACCGACGCCGCCGCCCCCATTGCCAGCTGCAAGAATTGAAGAAATTTATAGAATTAGACTGGATATCGTAGGCAATTATTTTGCACCCACAACAAAAAAGGTTTTTAGTCACAATTATTGTTGAACTTAACTAGACATGGAACATAAATAAATACACAACAGACAACAGAATACAACATATACATATATATAGAGAGATATAGATAAAAACATAAATGTTATACATAAAATATAATTAATAAATATAAAATCATATCAAATAATATGCAACACTTAAATATGGAGACTGGTTCTGTTCAGGGATTGGGGCTCGGATTAGGGTTGCAAATAAGGGTTGTACAGATATATATAGTATATACACTATGCTATATATGTACCATGTGGCAGGTTTTTTTTATTGATTATAATTAAACATAACATTTAAAATATTTATGAGTTACTCAGTTGGACCTATTTTTATTTGTTGTTTGTTCATTTTATTTAATTTTTGAATGTTTTTTATTTTAAATTTTGTATAATTTGTTATTCATTATTATAATAAATTTAAATTGTTAATTAATGAATAAAATGAAATTGTCTAGACTTTCAGCTTAAAGCTTTAAATGATTTAATAACTAATAATTAATTATATTTTTATACAATTAAAATTATTTATCTTAAATAATTTATAAATCTATAATTTTTTTTTTACTCAATTTAAATTTAAAATAAAAATTAAGCAATTTCTTATATATTTTTAGCAAGTTTTTAATAGTTTTTCTAATTTATATATATATTTTTTAATTTATAAAATATAGTATGACACATTTATTATATTTTTTTCATAATAAAATGAAATAAATCAAAAATGTATAATATAAATTTTTGCTCAATAAATACTAGATCTTAGCAGACATTCCTGCATAACTAATTTGATTTGATTTGATTTGCTTTATAATTTTTTTTTTTTTTTTTTTTTTTTAAATAATTTTGTTGCTGTCCAACTGAATTTCTTGCATAAATATATGCTTATAATAAATAAAAACCAATTTAAATATTAAACAATTTATATATAAATATACATTCTTCCCCCATTTATCTTATATACTTTCGACTTGTTTTTTTTTTTTTTTTTTTTTTTCTGGCTATGTCTAAAGTCTTTACACGGAGGGTTAATACAGTGGGGTGCAGCGCCTAATGACTACCCGTTAAATATATATACACAGATCTATGCCTAGGTTATATACAAAGATCATTTAGATATACGTATGTGTGTGGCACAGTTATACAAATACACGTAAATGTGGTTAGGCAAGAGATGTTGTGTTCGAGGAGGCCCAAGGATATTTCATGTTTTTCTTTTCTTTTTAGTCTTTTTTTATGTACATAAATGTGTGTGTTTATGAGGCTTGTGTGTGTGTGTGTGTGTGGATCGTTGAGCGAGTGCTTTGGGGTTCGCTTATTTATATACACAATGATTAGCTCGAATTTCGTATTATATATACATATAGATATTGTTCATATGTATGCATGACATGTGATTACAGCGAGCGAGCGAGCAGAGCGAGATAAATATATATTTATATAGTGTGTGTGTGTGAGAGATAGAGGAGAGAGAGAGAGAGAGAGAGACAGAGAGTTCAAGTGTGAGCACACGGCTTACCGGTCTGCGCTCGACCATAGAAATCATTCGCCTGCTGCGCCTGACCGTACGCAGCGAGTGCTGCATAACCACCGCCGCCGCCGCCGCCGCCGCCACCACCCAGCCCAATGATGCCGTTGCCACCGCCACTGCCCATTCCGCCCACGCCCATCATGGCCGGATGGGGGGACATGTTCAGTCCGTTCATTAGTTGTTGCTGTTGCTGCTGGTGTTGGTGTTGTTGCTGTTGTTGTTGTTGTTGGCTGGCGGCGGCAGCCCCATTATCATTGTGGTTGTTGTGGTTGCTGCTGTTGTTGTTGCCACTGTTGTTGTTGTTGTTGTGGTTGTTGCCTGGCGACAAACCGAAACGCGTTGAGCCTGTTTCGGTTAAGCGTTTGATTTTTTTGGCTTTGGTTAAAATCTAATCAAATATTAACAACGTGTGTGTGTGTGTGGGTGTGAAACGGTGTTGGTATGCGTGTGTGTGTGTATGTGTATTTGTGATGTGAAGCTCTGTATGTATTGATATTTAGTACAGTAATTAGGGCAAGCGACGTTTTGTGAACTAGTTCACGCTGCATTGTGTTCTAAATCGATGTGATTTGGACGCGTCATAAGATTTCAATTTTTTTGAGCTGGAACTTGTTCCGCTTTTCATAAAGAACTAGTTCAAATAAATTATTAAGTTTCTTTGCACTTTTCCAAGTGTATTTAGTTGTGTGTGTTTGGTACTAGTTAATAACTTAAGATATGTGAACTAGTTCATTGTATATGATTCATTATTTATAGTCATTTGGACTAATTTTGTTCAAGTAAATATGTATATGTATGTTTGTTTTCACTAATTCCGATTCAAGTGAAACTATTTACAGCGATATCTCACACTAGTTCCAAAATCGAATCAATAATTTATTTAGAGATAATCAATTTTGAACTAGTTAATGTGTGAAACTAGTTACAATTGAACACATTCTCAAGTTTTCAAAAATTTATTATTAAAGAGATCTAAACTTGTTTTGAACTAGTTCCGACAGAGAACTAGATTTGTGTTCTCTGGTTAGTGACTTCACTTGTTTTGCCTAGCAGAAATGAACTAATTGACATTGACTAGTTCCGTCTACAGCTGGAATTGGTTGCATGACCCATAACTAAATTTTCGATTGGGCACACTTCAGGGGCACAGAGTCGAGAGATCAGCTAAGACTAAT